GGGGTCAAAATAAGGGGGGTGCAATTATATGGGGAATACAAAAATAAAAAAACAAATAACACATAGAAGTTGAGTAACAGAAGTGAAAAGTGTTACCATGAAAGTTACATCTGTATGTATCTATACACATGGAAAACTACTGCCCAACCTTATAAAATGTTCCCCCAAAAGAAAAAAATTAAGCATGTACAAGGTCACTAAGAAAATTCCAGCTTATTTGAAAATCTATAAATCTTACAGCACATATTTTATATCATCGATTAACAAACCCAGAAGTCACCCATCATTTTTAAATCTAATCCCTTTGATTTGCTTTTTAGACTGCTCTAACATGGGTCAAAAAGTCAAATTGAATTTAAGAATTATGGAAAGTACAGTAAGTTAAAATATTATACAACCGTACCATTGGGTTCTATTTAAAGCAATACTCAAAAATATATAAAGCCTTCAGTGTACATAAAATATTAAAAACAGATCTAAACATTCAAGCTGGTAAAAAAAAAAAAAAAATACCAGCAAGTGATAGAAAATGAGGTAAGAAGCAGAAATCAATGAATTTAAAATGAAAAATAGTAGACTTGATCAATAAAACTAAGAACTGTTTCATTAAAAAGACCAATAAATTACACATTTCCATGAGTCTCACCAAGAAAAAAAGGAAATACGTGTATTTCATGCTAGAAGTTAAAGACAAAACCACAAACACAAGACAAATATATTAAGAGAATATCCAGTTATTTATGCATTTCAGTGAAATATGATTTTTCACAAAAATGTAAATTGATCCAAATAAGAGTTTAAAATTAAGAAGAGCAATAACAAAACAGAAAGTGAACATTTTCAATAATAAAAGATTTCCCAATTATCAGCCCATATTATTCCCAGGTGAATTCAATCAAACAACATTTATAAAAGAGGTGTTGTCTATGTATTTAAACCAGCCTAGGAAACAAAAAAAATTGACAAGTCTCAAATTAACTCATGGATAGAAGTAAAAACCTCCTGTCTCTCACTAATGAGTTGAAACTTGTAAGTGCTTAATGAGGTTACTATAAAATGTTTACAGCAATGCCTGATATTTATCAGTGCTCAAATGTTTATTGCCACTATTATTTTTACTAATATTGCAAAAATGTTAACCAAAACACTAGTCAAGATAAGCTTATTTGAGGATTTTAGGAACAGTCTAACATTATGGTTCTTAATGTAAATAATTACGTTAGTAAATAAAAGGATGGGGGAAACACCAGTCTCAAAAGCCATCTTTGAGAGGTATTTAATAAAAACTTAACAGCTGTTGACTTCTTGGTCTTTCAGTAAATTGGGAATAAAACTAAATTTCTTTTATATCATCACTGCATATATCCATACATCCATATACATTTACATTGTGTGTGTTAGGTAAAAAAACTATTACCAGTTATTAAAAAGATTATATTAAACATAAAGAACACATTATAGACAGGATTTTGTCTTCCTCCTGACTTTAATGAGGACTTTGATCTATTCAATTATTCAAAGTCATTGTTATGGACATTCCAACCAGTAGCATAAGACAAGAAAAAGGTATCACTGGTATAAATACTGGAATTTAAGAATCAAAATTCAGTATTTATTAAATTATAAAAATTTAATAAATCAAGGAGGGTGACTAATCTAAAAAACCAAAAATCCAAAAATTTTGATGCCTGGCCCTGGTTATGCAGTCTGCAAATGTCAGCTTTAAAATAAAAAAATCCAAGCTACTCCTCGTAACTCACTTAGTTTAGAAGTCAGCTAATTTCTGATCCCAAAGCCAAAGATATCAAAAGAAAATCATGCCAATATATATTGCCAATATTAACACAAAAATCCTCTTTATCAAATCAAATCCAGGAATACATGACTATATAACATGTCTAAGTGGAATTTATAGAAAAACGCAAATTTGGTACACATCCAAAATCTAATTAGTTGTAATATGCCACATCATTAGAAAAACAGAATAAAAATATATGATCTTGATAGATGTGGCAATAGCACTTGAAAAAATTCAACACCCTTTCATGATAAAAGCACTCAAACTAGGAATGGAAAGCAACTTCCTCAGACTGACAAAGAGCATCAATGAGTAGAAGGTAACATGTTCAACCTGGGTAAAAGCACCTATGAGGACCTCCCCGGTGGCACAGTGGGTTGAGCTGTAGACAGCCTCTGCAGTGTGGGTTCGATCCCCGCCAGCCAGTGAGAATCCCACATGGTGCAGCAGACCTCTCCTGTAGCACCCGCTGCTCTCCTCAGCAGTGTATCTCTGTCGTCTGCCTGTTCTGCTCCCTGCTCTGTCTCTGGTGAATCCTCTCACCATCCCGTGCATCTGGCCTGTACCCCAGCTCTTGTATAAAAATAAATCTTTTTTTTTAAAAAGCACCTATGAAAAGTCACAGCTAACATCACACTTTGTGGTGAAAACTTAAAGCTTCCCTCCTTAAGATCAGAAACAAGGCAGTTATCTGTTCTCATTACATCTATTCAACATCTTATTGAAAGTTCAACATTGTATTGGAAGATCTAATCAGGGCAAATTAGCCAAGAAAATAAATCCTTCCAAAAATAACAGGGAGACATGAAAATATCTCTATTTTCAGATGGCATGACCTTGTATGTAAAAGAAAGCAAACATTGAAAAAAAAATGCAAAAGATGTAAAATATATATAAATAAAAAAGAAAGAAATCTACTTAAGCTATTAAAAGAGATTACTAAGGCTCCAGGATACAAGATAGCTATGCAAATGGTTGCATTTCTATGAAGTAGCAATGAATAAACAGAAAGTAAATTAAGGAAATTTCACTGATGGTGGCATCCAAAATAAAATATTTAAAATAGTTTAACAAAAGTCACACAAAACTGAAACTCTGATACCACAAAAAATTGTTGAAAGAAATTAAAGATGACCTAAGTAAATGGGAAAATGTTCCATGTTCATGGATAACATGATTTACTATGAAGATGACCTGCCAAATTAAAAAGTAACCTCTGTAAGAAGTCAGCTGCCTTGCCAGAAATGATAACTTGGTCCTACAATTCAATGAAATTCAATAGTAGTTGAATAACCAAAATGATCTTTAAAAAGAAAGTAGAAATGCTCACACTTAACTGATTTCAAACCTTATTACAATGTCACAATAATTCAAACATTACTAGCAGAAGGGCAGACATGTAAATCAATGGAATAGAACTCAGAGTCTACAAATAAATCCTCACATTCATGACAACTGATCTCCAGCAAGGTTCCAAGGCAATACACTGGGGAAAAACAGTCTTCAGCAAGTGATGCTAGGAGAAGTGGTTACCCATACTTCAATGGATATAACTTCACATGAGAGAACCATACAAAGAATCTGGGTGTCTTATTTTCTAGTCAACAATCTATAAATCCAGTCTACCAGGTGCTCTGTTGGAGCCTCTGCTCCTGAATAAAGAACAGTTCCAATGAGAAGCTCTGCTTCCTCCTAGCTCTCAGAGCACTTGGGTTCTGACTAGGACCTGCTCAACAACACATATTACACCTTGCTTTCTCTGCATGACCCCGAAGCTGCCAGCCTGTTACCTGACAACATCCCCACAAAAGGATCAAGGTCCACCAAGGCTTTTTTGAGGCTGAGAGCAAACTTAATCATTGAAAAAAGAACTGTTGGTCCTCACCTCTGCTGAAAATGGGCATGGAAAGACCCTTTCCTCCAGCCAAATTAGTTTGCTCCTGCATGTCTTTAAAGAAAATTTGCATCTTCATCTTCCTTCATTGCTCCCTTCTGACTTCCCACACTGCTCTCATGCTTAATAAACCCTTCCATTACCTGCTAGGATTCTGCCTGGTGTTCAAGAATCACTGTCCTCTGTGGTCTTCTTTAACCACTGACTCCTTAATGTACTGGATTCAGTGAACTTAACACCTTCATGGTTTCAAAATTATTCATTCTAATACTGCTAAATTATTTTTTATTATCAATTCTTTTATTCTTTGCTTTTTCATTTGGTCATGCCTTACCTCACATATCACAAAACTCTTGCTGGGTTATGTTTCTTCAATTTCCCCACAAAACCTGCCATGCCGTCTTGAATAGAGGAGCCACTCAAATATTTTCAATAGACTAATACAGAAGAAGCTGATATCAAAATGTTTAATTGTTTAGGTTACCTAATCATTTATTTCATAATAAATAGACCTTTCTCAAATTTAAAATCCATATGGTTTGCTATTATCTATGGAGACTTCAATCCAAGTTTTTCAACATGACATCAAAGATTTGAAATGATCTGACTTTCACTGACTTCTGTAATATCACCCCTCACTGTCCATCCCAAACTCCTTAGCACCTTCCTCACAACACTGCATGTTCCAGTCATTCCCACCCACCTGCTTATCTTCAAACCTTTCTGGAATATTTTTTTATTCCTTATTCATTCCCATTTAGCCTGTCAAATATCTACTCATTTTTTTTTCCTTTTAAGACCATCATCCTCTTTGAATCTTGTCATTACATAACTTTTAGAACTGATCATTCTTACCTTTATGCCATAAACACAGATTTCTAGCATTGCCTCTAGAATGTTTTATGATTGTCTGTCTTCCCTATTAGTTTGGGTTATCCTCAGAAAAGAAATTGTTTTAGTCAATTTAACATTCCCAGTGTCAAACAGAGTTCCCACCTAAACACACACTAAGTGTTTACTGAAGGTCACTGTTAAGTATAACTAACTTATTTGATGATTTGATGCGCTAAGTCATGGCTAGAATGTGGTCTGAGCCAAGTGTACTGGAAAAGACAGGTGAGAAAGACATTTGTAGGTGGCTCTTAGAGAGCAAACAAGAAAGCCACTTTGCCCAAAGTAATACATAATGCAAAGTAAACTCATTAGTCTGTTAGCTCAGCATTTTCTGTGAGCTACCAGTTTTAAATTCCATTTTGCACAGTCCATTCCTTTGGAGTAGATTTTCAAAAATAGGACAAGCTTTCTTACCTGTGTTCCAGTTCTCTAATGGACAGGATCACTCCTGAAGTCGATGGCTTCTGCTGTACAGTGGCCAAAAATGTGAACTCACTCTTATTCCGAAAGAGCTGGATTAATTTCTCACTCACGTGAGGGGCTGCATGGATTTCCCTGTCCATATCTAGGAGTCGAAAAGGAAGAGCAAGAGAAACAAAAGGAAAGAGAAAGAACAAGAAGGAAAATGAAGAAATGCAGAGGGAAGGGAGGAAGGAACACAAGAAACAGGAGAAAAGATGCGATTAAAACAAATACTTCATCCAAAGGAAGCAAGTTCTACTTTTTATTTTCCCCTCTCGTCAACAATTTTCATTCCCAGGCACCATCCACCACCCCACAGAGCTGCATTCATTTACCGAGAAACCCGGAAACGCCATCTCTGTCACCACGTTCACTTGTCACCTTGACAAGTTCACAATTGGCCAGGCACTGATTTTCTGACAGGAATTTTGACAGGACACTGAGCAATGTGGCCTGCTGCAAGCAGATTAAGTTGCTGTAAATAAGGTGAGAGGCAGTGGGCTAAATGGAATCCTAAATTTAGAGAATCCCCAGTCTAGCGGGTCCCAGACGCCACTCAGCAGGCTCCATTTTCTCTTGTCCCACAGACTTGGTTTCTTGCTGTGCACTATGCATCCAGGGAGACCTGCCCTTGCTTGGTACCCAGTAGAGATTTATGAGTTCTAATGATGCCAGACAACTCTGCTTCTGCCCACAGAATAAATACAAGGTGTGCTCGTGATCCCTAAGCGTGCCTGGAATTTCTCTGTAAACATATTGTGGATTATTTTCCTTGTAAAATGATTTTCCATGTAAAATATCTATGAAAATTGAGGCCATTTCGGCAGGCCTAGAGGTATATGAGTTCAGCTAATCCTGCTCCTGGGCCGGAATCCTTTTTGCAACATCCGCATGAAGAGACATCTCTCATGTCAGATTCACCAAGGGTGCATGATAAGCCAAGTGGTGTTGTTTTACAGTACACTTTCTGGCAGTGGGAAGCAAAGTGTAGAGAAAACAACTCAAAGGATAACAAATGAACATCAAAGGCACATTTGGTGCCTTTTCTCACACCCTGTCTGTCTTCTCTGAGTGGTAACTGCATGGTTTTTCTCCAGGACTGTGTGAGGGACCTTGATAAACAGACTCACAAAGGCCTTGTTGCCCATGCAGTATCACAGACATTGGTATGGACTGAGATGAACCTTATCCTAAAGAATCGCTTCTCAACCATAGGAAGTGCTTGAACTCTTGACCTTAGGTCTGTCTTCTCATTTGCAAAATGAAGCAGTGGGCCTCCCCAGTTCAGCCTTCTTTAAATTTTATGAAATGCCTTGTCAAGTTTGCAGCATAGCCAAGACCACCACTGTCTTCCAGCTATAAAGTCTAGGTTATAAAGGGGGGGAAGCAGGGTTGGTCTCTACAACAGAGGCACCCACCTCTGGCAGAGCACGCTACAAACATAAAATTGACATTCATGACATTTGCTATTCTGCCCTAGGAAAGGCCTATCTTACCTGACTGCTAAGTAGCCTGGGTCAAGGGTTGAGATAAGAAATAGCCACTTAGAAAATGCTTCTGTACCTTCTACAAATCCAAGCTCAAGACTTTCTAGGATGATAATCCAAATCTATTGACTAATTGAACAAAGCACTTTTAAAACTTGAGTTTATTAGTAAATATTTGTAAACAGTTTATTGTCATGACTTTTGGCAAAGATCCTCACAATAAATTCTACCTAGAATTTAGTGCCAACAAAAATATGTTGATCCTTGAGATTAACTTATATGTTCACTGGTTGCATTGGCTCCCTAGAGAACACATTGAAGGATTCCAAAGCTTTGTCCCAATGAGAAGAGGGCCATGACTGACCAGCAATGCCTCCCGGGGGAAAGAGGTAGAATATCCTATCAGTTCTGGGTATCCTCACCTCTCACTCAATTTCCCTGGGTAGTATATACATTCCCAAGACCAATGACCCCCAAACTTAGCCACTACCCCAATATGTCCCTTAACCAAAAGACTCATTCAATATCCTTCTTAGCATCTCCATATGAATATCTAATAAGCATTTCAAAGTGTGTATGCTCACAACAGACTTGTTCTCTCCCCCAACCCTCCATTCTCCCCTGGAGTTCAGTAAACGGAGCCACGCAGTTCAAGAAAAAAATAAACACAACCAAACAAAAGAACACCTAGAGGGTGCCCTCAGTTCTTTCTTTTCCTCCATATTCCATATCCAATCTAAGACCAAGTCATCAGGCTCTCAAGTCTGCAATCTGTCCACTTCTTCCCAATTCCACTGTTTTAATTCTTATCAAAGCTGCATTATCTATCCCTGGAACACCTCTAATACTTTCCCTACTCATCTCCCTGTTTCTTTACTGCCTTCTCTTCTCCATTTCCCACGTATCACCTACAGTGCTCTTTTTAAAGTAAAGTCAGGCCAGTTTCCTGTTTAAAACCCTCCAGAGGCTTCCCAGTGCTTCCAGGATAAAAGGGATATATCTCCCACCCCCAAATCTACTCTTGCCTCTGGGTCTTTGCTCCCTCCCCTCTGCCCACAATGCCCTCTCCGCACTCTTCACATGCCTGCTTCCTCCTTTAGCTCTGACTGCAAATGAAACCTCCTGCTCATTCCCTCCAAAGCAAGCTCACCACTAATATCTAACACCACTCTGGGTATTTTGCCCGTACCATTGATCATGAGTTATATATTGTGATCAGTTTATTTCCTTAGGTCACTTGTAAGCTTGTTTCACATTTCTACCTTATTTCCTTTCTCTCCTCAGTGGACTCTAAGCACTACGAGGGCAGGCATTCTAATTTATTCATTGTTGTAGCCACATTTCTTAATGCCTAGTATAAAATAGGCATCCAATAAAGACTTACTGAATTAATGCATTTTCCATTTATAGTGTTACTTTAGGTAACCACAAATTTTCCACCAGAAAATAGTATGACACCTTTTGGAAAACTAGAAATGAATATTTCAAGTGCTAGGCCTATCAAATTAAATGCTTCTCATTGTCAATTCAGCCTCTCTTCTTGACAAGACACCTCACCTAAAAGTCTAATCCAACCCAACCACATCTCTACTCACCCAACATCCCTTCTAAAAAGCTGAACATTTCTTTTACCAGCTTTTCTCATTTCTCTTTGAAAATGATTGGCACATTGAAGTAATGAGACCCTATTAGCACTCACCAGAGTGAAATGTAAAAAACATCTATTTTGATACATTGAGACTTTATGTGCATTTTTATTTTTCAGAAAAGCTCATTCAAGTAAATGTTTACCATAATTCAGCCACTGAAGAACACAAGAAACTAATCCCAATACTACTTGCAATAAAGTGGCAAGACCACAAGATGAAGCATTTCACAGAACAGAAGACTACACAAGTTTTAAAGATAAAGAACTGTGTGACCGCGGATAAGGAGACTTTACCCCTGAGTCTCACAGTCCACATCTGACACTGTAAGGATATTGTGCCATGATCGCCATAGTTCTTTTTTTAGACTCAACATTTCATTTCTGTTCATCACTTTACTCTGCTCCCAGCCACACAGCAAAAGGATGATAGGAAGGTATTTTTTTGTCTACAAAATACCCAGATTCTATGACTATTCTCTGCTTATTTCCCCAATTTGCAGGAATGTAGCATTGTCAATTAGTGAATACTGATAAGTTGCCTACTTTGCAGTAGCCTTTTTTCCAGAAGCTAGAGCAACCAATGAAAACTAATTAATAAGAACTTGTAGTGAATATTGTACTTCCCTAATCAACCACTATAATGTATGTTTGCTGTGTTATTTGAGAACAGTCAATTCTGCTAGAGAACAAGAAAATCAAATGGAATGGAGTGCTTAAGAAGTGTTAAATATATAGCAAGTTAGAAGCCTGTGAAATGTGTTAAACATAGATTGAATAAATGGAACATAAAAGTGTTGAACACAGATTAAAAGGACTGAATAAGAGTGTTCCTTATAAATAGAATGGGGTAGGAGGACCAAGTCATAATGCACAAATCACACTACCTTTCAGAATGACAGCTATGTCATCCCTAAATCTGACAGCCATCTCTGAAACCCATTTCATTCCCATTCTTCGCCCTACATACACTCTGCAAAACATGCTAACAAAGGGCCTCCCTGGTGTCACAGTGGGTTGAGCGCAACCCTATGAAGCTGTCCATGGCCTCTGCAGCACAGGTTCGATTCCCGGCCGGCCAGGAAGCTACCCACATGGCACAGCAGACCTTTCCTTTCTCACCCGCTGCTCCCCTCAGCAGTGTTTTCAGCAGTCTGCCTGTTCTGCTCCCTGCTCTGTCTCTGATGAATCCTCTCACCCTCCCGTGCTTCTGGCCTGTACCCCAGTTCTTATATAAATATTTTTTAATAAAAAAATGCTAACAAAATCCATCACTGCTCCCCAAATCAACTGGTGAATACAGACATGGTCAGGCAAACTTGCCCCCAAGTCCCTCCATGAGAGGAAGCACACTGGCTCCAGGCAATGTCCATCTGCTGAACCCTCATTTTTTTAAGCCCTCCACTTCAGTCCAAGTGTCCACAGTATCAGCAAGGAAGCCAATGGAACAGAGAAAGATGCTCTTAGTAGCTGAGCAATGTATAACCTAGGACCCAGTGGGATGACCCATTTCCCCACACACAATTATACCGAGTGTGTAAGCTTACTCCATCTCTTTCCCCAGCTTCCTCCTGGTAAGTTCTAATTAATTAAATAAGTCACATCAGTCAAGCATCTGCAATTGGTCTGACCATGGGGTTTTGTTTTGTGACCTCTGGGGATATACTCCGAGGCTGCCAGTGCATCCAGGTAACAATCCACTGACAATGAACATTTTATATTTTAAGTCTGAGAAAAAAAGAATGCCATTTCAAAAATGCAGAGGTTTTGCATGATCTAGTTGAGAAGCGCTAACTCAGCAGCCAGGGTTAAGTGCTTTCTCTTTCCTAGGATGAAAGGACCCTACCTAGTCATTTTTAAAGACTAAAAATGCTAATGTGATGATTAAGCATCTGTAAAAGGTGTTAGGTAAAGGGAGGCCACTCAAGAAAAAAAAATTAAAGGATGGTATTCCCACACTCTTCTCTGCCT